TATTGATTTCTTGATAATAGCCTTTCTTTCTGTGGAATCTCAGTGTTGTTTAATTTGTATCTCTCAAATGACCAGTGATGTTGAACATTTTTTAATATATTTATTTACAGTTTCTGCTTCTTCATCTGAGAAGTGTCTATTCATTTCAGGTTTTTGGATCCAATTTTTGGATTTGGTCTTTACACTTAGCGGTGGTCTGATTTTTTTCTTTTTAGTTCTTTATGTATTCTACAGAGTAGTTCTTTAAGGAGTAGCTGGTAAATTCTTTTCTATTCTGTGAGTTGTCTCTTCCGTCTGTTGGTGATTTCTTCTGCTGTGCAAAAAGTTTTTAATATGATATGATACCAGGTGTTGAATCTTTGCAGCATTTCTTGTACAACCTGGGTTTTGTTCATAAAGTCTTTGCCTCTACCTATATTTTCAAGACTTTTACCTATTCTGTCTTCCAGCAGAATATTTCTGCTTCAATACTCATATCTTTGATCCATTTCTATTTTAGTTTAGTGCACAGTGAGAGATCGGGATCTAGCTTTAGTCTTTGACATAAGGAAAGCCAATTTTCCCAGCACTATTTATTAAAGAGGTAACCTTTCTTCCAGTGAAGGTTTTTGGCTCCTTTGTCAGAGATAAGGTAACTGAGTGTGCTCGCAGTTGTTTGTACATCTTCTGATCTGTTCTGTTGGCCCTTGGGTCTGTTTTGTTTTGTGTTTTGGGGTTTTGTTTGGTTGGTTGGTTGTTATTTTTGGTTTGTTTGGTTCGTTGGTTGGTTGGTTGGTTTTGTGGGAGCCCTGCAGCAGCCTGTGTCCTTTCGGCGTGCCAAGGTTTTGTCGTTTCTCATACATCAGGCACGCAGGAAACGTTAATGGAAGCTGAGTCAGTGTCAGCCCTGAACTGGGGAGGCCAGGGTATCCTAAGGGCCTCGGCTCTTTTCTGTGTAATGTGCCCACGTCATGCTCCTGGTTATCCTGAGGGCTGCTAAGACTCCTCCCCTGGGCAGCAGGACCTTGAACTCCAGTGTCTTAGTTCTGGCAGCTCGGGCAGCCCCCTGAGGACAGGGGCACCACACCCTGCTGATACCAGGGAGCAAGTGAGCTGTCTCCAGGTTGGCACTGCGCTGCCTATGCCAGGTCAGACCTGTGGGAAGCTGTCTGAACACAAAGCACACAGTTTGCAGCCAGCCCGTTAGGCCACTCGCCGCCCACTTGGAGAAGACTGTTGGAAGATAGTCCTACTGTACACTTCCTTTATTCGTTCATTCTCTTTTTATTTTTGCCAACTCTAACCAGTGCCCATCAGAACCAGAAGATGGTGCTCAGAGCCCACTAAGCATCATGCTAGTGGCGGGCCTGACCTTGCTGGAGGCTCACAGGCTGTCTAGCCACATGCCAGATGCCACATGTTCTGTGCTGCAGAAACCAAGCCCCTCGTCTTCCCAGGCCTGTGCCCCTTGAGCTCCACCAATGGGAGATGGATTCTCCTAAGGCTGCATGTTCTCTCAGCCCTCTCTTGTTTCCTTCTTCCCCTTCTCTTTGCTTCCCCTTAATCCACCCCAGTTTGGATACCAGGCTGCTGAGTGAATTTTGGAAGAGACTCTGGTTTCAACCACAGTTTCTGGAAGAGGAGCTCCCATGTAATTTGACCTCATCTCTTTGGCCCACATTTCAACAGATTAGAACCACTCTGGCTATGGGAAGTTCCTGTACAAGAGGTCTCCCCGCCCCCCAGCACCCATGCCTGCAGGAGCAGAGTGCTTTTGCTCCCCGCTCTTTCTCTGTCTTAAAAATTCTGACTCAGATGCCTTAGACCCCTAGGCCAGTGTGTGCATATTTAGTCACATTCTGCTGTCAGTAGTAGCTCACAGAAGCTTAGGATCTTCCCTTTCCAGCATTCCCCTGCTCATATAACACACACACACACACACACACACACACACACACACACACACACATCCCTGAGCATTCAGAAGGTGTTTCCCTGGGCCTCAGCACACTCCATGAGCTGCAGTCCCTCCTGGAGGTAACTTCACATGTGGATGATGCCTGGGGGAAGCGGGCTGAGCATCCTGTTCTGGGCTCTGGAGAAGCTGCCCTGAAAGCTTCCTTCCCTGACAGAGTCTGTTCTGGGTCCTCACTGCTCCCTGGAACTTCCAGCAAGGAGGCAGAAGTCACTCTCTGTTTAACACAGCATGCACCTTGGGCTACCGAGCATCAGAAATGTGCCTAGCATGAATCAGGACCTGCATCTTTAGTTTGATTTCATTTCAATTAATTTAAACTCAAAGAATCACACATGGCTGGTGGCTGCCTTAGTGGGCAGCACAGTTCTGGGGGGAAAGACAAGAAATAAAGGGTGAAGAGATGCCCCTCCTCCTTTAACCACAGAACAGACAACAGAATGTCAACTAGAAACATGATTTGGAGAAAGCAAAGCAGAGGCAGAGCTAGACAGTGGTCAGGCTGGGCAGCCTGGGTAGAGGAACAGTGGTCAGGCCAGGCCTGTTTCCGAGGGGCTCAGGCTGGAATGCACTGGCTGGCACCTGGGACAATCGCAGAGCTGGGGAGCAGCGGAGGCCATGGCAGGAGCGCAGGCTGCAGATGGAGGTGGCCTGGGCAGAGCACCGGGGGCTGGCAGGGGCAAACCTGAGATAAGCACCAGCCAGGTGACCACGGTTTGACAGGCTGGTAGAGCTGCTGATGGAGTAGAGCCCTCCAGGTGGGGCGTGTTTGAGAGGGAAACCTCAGGTCTCTGGTCACAGGGATGGGCAGGAGGGTCAGATGCATTGTGGCCCCACCAGACAGGGAGCCACCACTACCCTCTGCGCTGCCTTTTGGTGTCCTCAGCCCCCGCTGCCCCCAGGGGCTGCTGACTGGCTCAGCCACCCAAGGAGACCTTGCTGCAGGCCAGGTCCCTGGGCTCTGCGGGGTGTGGGGCGTCCACCCCCAGGCTGCCCAGGTGGTCACCTGGCCCCAAGGGGCCACAGGGCCCTGCCGCTCCTGTTCTCATGCTGGCTTTCTGCAATTTTAATTCTTATGTGCATGGCTATTCGGGGCTCTGTGTGCCTCCCTTTTATGTATGTGAAATCCTTTTTCCATGTCTGGAAGTTTTCTGGAAACAGGTTTTTGTTTTGGTTTGTCTTGTTTTTTAAACATCCTTTGTGCTGCCTTCTTTGAGTTTCATTTAATATAATTATATGAATTTAAGAAAATAGAGATCAAAATAACCAAGAAATACTTCACAGAAGAGTTATGAGGAGGAACTCAGTCTACCAGATACTAAAGTGAACTCTAATATTCAAAAACATGTAAAAGTGGAGCTTAAGTACAGAACTCGAGGGTCAGATGCGCAGATGAAGAAACCCTGTCAGATATAAAACCTTACTGTATGATCAAGGTGGTCTTACAAATTAGTGAGCCAAGGAAAGATAATACAATATGTGCTACTGAAATCACGAAGAACTCTCAAGAAAAAGGATTAGAATTGTGTCTCACAGCTGGATGCAAGATAAACTCAAGCTAAGTGTAAAAAATATGAAGCTGAAACATGTGTGATAAAATACAGCTTAACATGTCTCAGCTACAAAGACAGAATCAATTTCTATGCACAAAAGCACAATGAAAGAAGCCATAAGAGAAATAATAATAAAATCATGATCCAAAAATTAAATTTTCTGCAGGTTAAGCCTATAAAGACACCCCATGGAAAAACTAAAGGTAAATGATAAACTGGAAAACTTTGCCACAGATACAGTAAAGTATTAGTATTCTTTAGGTAGAAAGAGCACTCACAAAATAGTAATAAAATCACTGAAGACAGCAATATAAAAGTAGTATAAACAGGAAGTCACAAAAGAAGTAAGTGGCAAATAAATCTTTAAGAACAATTCAACTTTACCAGCAATTAAGAAAAACATATTAAAAGCTTCCCACTAATTGGCAAGGCTTGGGTGTGGTTGGTTGTTTTGTCATAGGGCTGGACACTAACCCTGGAAGCACTGGTCTATGTTCCCATCCCTTTATCTATTTACTTAATTTATTTTGAGACAGAGCCTCCCTAAATTGTCCAGCATAGCCTCAAACTTGTGCCCCTCCTGCCTCGGCCAGGTGTGTGCTGTCGCCACGGCTCTCACAGGCCTCTTAAGGGTCATGGTTTATGTGAGTGGGTTGGAAGCTGGGCCCTCTCTCAGGCTGCCAGAGGAGCAATCCACCCGTTAAGGCCAGAATTTGCTCATATGAGACAAGAGGACCATTTCCAGGCCTTTGGCCAAGCGTAGTTTTCAGAAATAACGGTGTTCACTGCAGTTTGTTAAGAGCATTGGAAATAAACACCCAACAAAAGCTGAAAGACTGAATATATTATGTGTGGTAGATCCTTGTAATGTAACAACGTGCTACCATTTTCTAACCCACCGCTTTGTTCAGTATTTACAGAAATGGGACACAGTTAAATAAAATCAAACTGCAAATGTGGGGTGATTATGTTTGCTGTCCTTTACACTCTTCCGCATTTCCTGGATCTTCTATCATGATTTTGCTTTTACGACCAGCAGCAATGTGCTTACATTCATTCCTAGCGCCCCTAGAACCCCTCTTGCTGGCCCCAAGTAAGTGTTAGCCTTGCTGCCGATGAGCCACAAATGAAAAGCAACCTGCAAGCCCGGCAGCAGCCGTCACTGAGCTCCCTCCACCGCCCACACGCCCGCCCGGCTGGAAGGCCTTCGCGCCTGTGTTCCCTTTCTGCGTCTTCTTGTCTCAAAACATAAAATAGTGTCTGTCCCCCATCCCAGTCGTGCTTGCTTCTGCAGGCCCGTTTCCACTGCCAGGGAAGGAGGGAAAGGAGGTGAGTTTTCATGTCTAGAAGCACCCACTCACCCCTGGGCACACAGAACTGTTTGATTTGGGTGCCCACTGGGTCACGGGAGTGACTCAAACAGAAACGCTTGTTTTTTCTGCATTGTAAAGAGATAAAGAGACACTGATTCTGTCTTTGTCCTTGCCCCACAGATATGACGCTACCTGGTGTGTTTAGCAATTGGTACAGTTGTAATTTTCTGTGCTGAAATCATTTTGAAAACTCCAACCAGAGACTTGAGCATTCAAGGGAAGCCAAAGCCATTTGAGGAGAAATAAAGCCAGAAGCCTTTTATCCTGCTATCACCAAGAAGTTCCATATCCCCCTCCACCCCCTCTAAAAATAAGCCATCGCCCAGACAGGCAGCATGGCAAGCAAACGAAAATCTACAACTCCGTGCATGGTTCGGACATCACAAGTGGTAGAAAAAGATGTTTCGGAGGAGGGAGACAGGGCCAAAGAGAAAGGAATGGCCATGCCACAGTCCGACGTGACCAAGGACAGTTGGGCAGCAGAACCTGAAAGCTCTTCCAAAGAAAATGAAGTCATAGAGGTGAAATCCACTGGAGAGAACCAGTCCAAAAAACTTCAAGGTGGCTACGAATGCAAATACTGCCCGTACTCCACACAAAACCTGAATGAGTTCACGGAGCATGTGGACACGCAGCACCCCAACGTGATTCTCAACCCCCTCTACGTGTGCGCCGAATGCAACTTCACAACCAAAAAGTACGACTCCTTGTCTGACCACAACTCCAAGTTCCACCCAGGGGAGACCAACTTCAAGCTGAAGTTAATCAAGCGCAATAATCAAACCGTCCTGGAGCAGTCCATCGAAGCCACCAACCATGTCACGTCCATCGCTGCCACAGGCCTCGTAAGTGGTGACAGTGACCCTGGGATCTCAGTGAGTAAAACCCCCATCATGAAGACAGCAAAGTCGAAAACAGATGCCAAGAAGGTGCCCAAGAAACCAGAAGAGGCCATCCCCGAAAACCACGTGGAAGGCACTGCCCGCCTGGTGACAGATGCAGCTGAGATCCTCTCGAGACTTGGGGGCGTGGAGCTCCTCCAAGACACATTAGGACACGTCATGCCTTCTCTACAGCTGCCACCAAATATCAACCTTGTCCCCAAGGTCCCAGTCCCACTGAATACTACCAAATACAACTCTGCCCTGGACACCAATGCCACCATGATCAACTCCTTCAACAAGTTCCCTTATCCGACCCAGGCTGAGTTGTCCTGGCTCACAGCAGCCTCCAAACACCCCGAGGAGCATATCAGAATCTGGTTTGCCACCCAGCGCTTAAAGCATGGTATCAGCTGGTCCCCGGAGGAGGTGGAGGAGGCCAGGAAGAAGATGTTCAATGGCACCATCCAGTCAGTACCGCCGACGATCACTGTGCTGCCCGCCCAGCTGGCCCCCACCAAAATCTCCCAGCCCATCCTCCAGACAGCTCTGCCATGCCAAATCCTTGGCCAGACCAGCCTGGTGCTGACTCAGGTGACAAGTGGGTCAACGACCGTCTCCTGCTCCCCCATCACGCTCACTGTGGCTGGAGTGCCCAGCCATGGCCAGAAGAGGCCTTTGGTGACTCCCCAAGTTGCCCCTGAGCCCAAGCGTCCACACATTGCCCAGGTGCCAGAGCCCCCAGCCAAGGCAGCCAACCCTCCACCCACCCCAGCCAGCGACCGAAAGAAGACCAAGCTGCAGATCGCACATCTCAAGGCAAGCTTCCTGCAGAGTCAGTTCCCTGACGACGCTGAGGTCTACCGCCTCATCGAGGTGACCGGCCTGGCCAGGAGTGAGATCAAGAAGTGGTTCAGTGACCACCGGTATCGGTGCCAGCGGGGCATCGTCCACATCACCAGCGAATCCCTTGCCAAAGACCAGATGGCCATCGCAGCCTCCCGACACGGCCGCACATACCACGCATACCCAGACTTTGCCCCCCAGAAGTTCAAAGAGAAAACACAGGGTCAGGTAAAAATCCTGGAAGACAGCTTTTTGAAAAGCTCTTTTCCTACACAAGCAGAACTGGATCGCCTAAGGGTGGAGACCAAGCTGAGCAGGAGAGAGATCGACTCCTGGTTCTCAGAGAGGCGGAAGCTTCGGGACAGCATGGAGCAGGCTGTCTTGGATTCCATGGGGTCTGGCAGAAAAGGCCCGGATGTGGTGGCCCCCAACGGCTCTCTGTCCCGACTTGACCAGCTCGCAAGTGCCCAGTTAGCCAGTTCTCTCCCCAGCACTTCACCAGCAATCACACCAAGCCAAGAACAGGTTCATCTCCTGAGGAGCACATTTGCAAGAACCCAGTGGCCGACTCCCCAGGAGTACGACCAGCTCGCCGCCAAGACCGGCCTGGTACGAACTGAGATTGTGCGCTGGTTCAAGGAGAACAGATGCTTGCTAAAAACCGGAACCTTAAAGTGGGTGGAGCAGTACCAGCGGCAGCACGTGGCAGAGGACCATGGCCAGGACACCGTCCCGAGGAGAGCAGCAAAAGCAGTTGCCGAGAGCCCAAAGAATGGAAGCGAGGCAGGCCCCCACTGTCCCAAGGACCCCAAAGCTCTCTGCGAAGAGGACTCGGAGAAGCTGGGCCCCAGGGGGAAAGCAGGCAGTGAGCAGGCAAAAGACTGCTTACCAGCCAAGTCCTCGGGGGCCACCTCGGACAGGTCAGAGGGCAGCAGCCGAGACGGCCAGGGCAGCGAGCATGAGGAGTCCAGCGTTGTGGACTATGTGGAAGTGACTGTCGGAGAGGAGGACGCCACCTCAGACAGGTCGGACAGCTGGAGTCAGCCTGCAGCAGAAGGCGCGACAGAGCTGGCCGACTCCGACTCTGACGGCGGCCAGGCCGAGGCCAGCCGTGCCTAGCCAGGTAACTCCTGTTCAGCAGGCAGCAGGGGAGAAGGCTGGTCTGTCCCTTTCTTTGGACTGGCAGGGTTAACACAGGGCGTGGGTACAGAGGTACTGGCTCAGGCGCTGCATCCTTTGTTTTAATAGATAAAAGTTGTCCCCCCATAAACACTGCTCATCGACACACCTCAAATATACCAGTGCTGTGGTGATGCACCGGCCATCACCAAGCCGAAACACTTGGGGCCAGAAGCAGCTAGCTTCCAGACTTGCCCGCCTTCGTAATATTTGCATGTGTATAGTATCGGAGGTGGGGCCCGAGTCCAGACAGAAATTCCATTTATGTTTTCCCGTACCATACGTTCACCGCCTGAAGTTGATTTTGCTTGATATTTTTAATGATTTTGTGTATGAAATGAAATTTCACAGTGTGGAATTTTCCAATCGTGGTTGACACTAAAAGTTTGGAATTTTAGAGCATCTTAGATTTTGAAATTTCAAGTTCGAGATGCTCAACGCGTGTCTATCATATGCAGCATGATATTTTGAAGCGGAAAGGTTCCCTGGGGTGCCCCACATGTGCACTGCCTCGTGTGCCCATCGTTTTTGTGGCAGTTCAGTCTTTTTCAGGGTTCTCTGTGAAAGGGAAGAAAAGAAGGCCCAGGAGTCGGCCTCTGTCCTTACTTCCCAAGCTCGCTAAGAGGGACGGCGCTGCTCCTGCAGGCTGCATGGACTTCAGCAGAGAGGGGACCTTGGAGTGCCCATCAGGACCTAGGAGCCATCCCGGGGCTTCTTGCCTCACATTACCTCTCTTAGCCTTTGGGCCTGTCCTGGCTGGAGTCCTGCCACACTGTTAGAACAACACATCCTCCGCAGGTTTTGTGTTCAGTGCTATAAAAAACAAGCAGTAAAAGGAGACGTCTAAGCCTAAGTATGCACATTTACAGAATCTGAAACTTGAGGCTGTTCCTTTTCACCTGCAAGTGCTTCGTATTTGCCTTGTTTTGTGGCTCAAGCCAGGTGGCCCCCTGCTTGGGTCCCCAAATCTGTAAGAGTCCTGGGTACCTGAGGCCTGTGCAGCACCACAGCCTGGGAAGGGAGGTTGCCATGGTAACTAATGGCCATGCCTTCCTCATAATGGGGTGGCCTCAAAAGCCCTGGTGTGTGGCTTCCCAAGGCTGCTGCAGGCAGCTGGCTTCAGGGTGAATGGAGAAAGGAACATGGGGTGTTGCTTTGCAGGCAGACTGTAGGCACACTTTGGAATCGGGGCATGATCCATCTGTCCAGGTGGACTTGTCTAGAAGTCACTTTAAAAGCAGGGACGGGGCCTCTCATGTTATCTTTAAGGTAATGGAATGAAAGTAAGACCCTCCAGAATAATTTATAAGATCCTAAAGGGAGCTCTGAAAGTCACCATCTCTGTTAATGAACTCAGACAGCTTCAGCTGGCTGCATCCTCACTAATTCATTTATCTGATAATAAAACAAGGCATCCGGCAAATACTCAAACTCCTCTAGCAGCCTCGTTTTCACCAGTTCCATCGGCCATGCAAGGAGCAGCTGAATGAGCCCAGCCACGCCAGAATGCCCTGGCATTTCCCTGAGGAGCTGTTCCCCACCCGTGAGAGGCAGCCCAAGGGGAGCAAGCAGGTGGCAGGAGGCACTGGAAGAGCATGGAAGTTACCAACAGCTCAGTCACCCGCTCCATCTGGCTGCCTCAGTTTCCTCCTCTCTCTGGCCATGCTCTCACCTTCTTGGAAAACTTCCCAGCCTATGCCCCTTCTCCTTCACTGCAATGGGATGACTATTTTCATCTGCTGAGCACTGCTGGCTTGCTTTGTCCTGTCTCTGATGTTCTCCCATCCGTATGAGTCTCCTCCTCCTAGGCTTCCTCCTCTCATCCTAGCTTAGTTCCGTTCCACTGGGTGGCACATTCAGAGTCCCTAGCAAGTGCCAGCCATTGTACTTGGCCCGGAGTAGATGACGCAGTCCTCCTTTGCATGGGGCTCATGTGTGCTGAGGAGGGGGGCAGTGGACTTGCCCCCAGTGTAACCCGAGGTGGTGCCCTGCGGGGTAGCAGTGAGATGTCCCTGGGCTCGGCACAGGCGGGCTGGCTGACTCTGGGGCTGGCTCCTGTGAAGCTGGCCAGTTACACAGAGAAGAAATGCTCAAAGCAGCACAGTACAGGCCAACGAATGGCAGAGGTGAGAACCAAAAGAAATTCAATGTGGCCGGAAATTTGAGTTTTGGTTCAGTAAGTGAAAAAAAGAACAGCTAAAAGCAAAGCAAAGCAAAGCTCATCTAAGCCGACTGCATTTGTAGAATTTGAGTCTAAACATCAGCGTCCCAAGGCAAGCTCAGATGGCACTCCATAGCCCGTGGCTGAAATGGGGAGCTGTCTGCAGGGCACGCTCTGCACGGCCATCTGCTGACAGTACCGACTGGGTGGGTGGCAACTGTGCCTGGTCCCTTCGGAAGTCCGGGAATAAGACATGGAAGAAGCAGTGCTCAAGCCATGTGGAGACGCTTTGGGAAGACATGAAGGAGGGACGAAGCTCTCTGAGGAGCAGAGGCTGAGCAGGCTTCCCCTGCGTCCACAGTCTGAGCTAGTTCAAGACAGGCAATTCTCTGCTTTTCTATAAACAAGGCGAGATTCAGCAATGAGGAGCCTACCCAAGAGCTTTGGCTGTGCTGTAGGGCCTCGCCCCTGCTGCCACCCACCTCCATCCCTCACTGGCAACGGTTTGAGGTTGACCCCTGAGTTAACATCAGACACTTCAGAGATGTGGGAACTGGTTGGGTCCTCCCAAACCTAGGAACATCCGGCAGCCCGTCTGATGCCGCCAAGTGCGAGCTGAGAAACTTTCTACCCAGACGCTGAGATCTCCTGGGCACCTGCACCACCACACGCCCCTCCACTTTCCGGCTTTGGAGACCCGTGGTTCTGAGGTTGGGATGCCAGTGGCACTGGGGGCAGGGGTGAAAGCTCTCCTAAATCCTAACCGGAGCACTTGAGGAGCCTTTCAACTGGGGTGGGGAAAGCCCCTGAATTTCTTCATAGCTTTTAGGAATCAAGTACCCGGGTCTCCTGAGATCCGTAAATACCCCACCATGTCCCCACTTAAACACATGTGTTTAGGAGTCTGCAGCAAACACCACCATTACATGTGTCATCATCCTGAAAATAACCTCTAGTTTTCTCTTTATAAAAGGTGTTTTATGACACAAATGTGTAAGAGGACGTGGTCACACTGCTGAGAGGGTCTCTAGATTGGATTTCCTCTGCTGGAGGGAGCATCTGGTCTGATTTGCCAGGCTCATAACGGTATGTGACTCATTCTAGGCTCACCTCCGCCTCGAGGTTAGACACAAAGATAAGAAGTCCTCCCTGGCACTCACGGTGCTGTCTTCATTCCGTCTCAGAGTCTGAATAATTATTGAGCCATCGTGGAGAGACTTATCCTACTTAAGGACTGAAAAATAAAATTTTCACCTCCAAAACCCACTTCCACCTCCTCACACAAGACACTGTCTGACCGTCATGCCTCTGTTTTGATCAAACGGAATGCCCCATTGCTGCTGCTCCTAAGGATTTCCATTTTGATTACATATTATGTGGTTAGCATTCTCCAAAACATGTCTATTAAATCTAATTTCACAACCATTCTTTGAAGTGGGTACAGCTTTCCCCCCATTTTATAGAAGGAAAAATTAAGACTCGGAGAAAATCAGTGACTTGCCCTGGTTTCCCAGCCAGCAGCTGTTGGAGACTGGAGTCCACCTGTTATCTCACATGATGGTGCCACCTCAATGGCATAGGCCTGACACACAGGACTCAGTTACTTCTTACCAGGTTTAGGAGGAGAAATTACCCTGTGTCCCTGATTCATCAGTAACCCTGGAGTGCGTGCTTCGTGCCAGGAACCGTTCTAGTCTGTACGAATATTCCAGAAGGCCTGGGACACAGCTGCTGCCCAGATCTGAGAAAAGGAGACACGCACGTAAGCACCAAAGGCTGTCTGGATGGACCATCAATGGGAGTTGTGCTTACAGAATCTGGACGAGTGCAGGGTGCAGGAAGTGGTTTTCTCAGCAACCCACCTAGGCAGACTTCCTTCCTCTTTGTTTGCTTTAAATAAAGTTTCAGAAATCTGAAATGAATCACTCAGCCAGTATCTAAATTTGACTCCAAAACTCCAGTCCCTACCTTCACGGCCTCCCATTTCTGACAAAAATTTCCAACTCTTGATGATTAAGGATGGCTTCGGGGAAGATGTAAAATTTGTGAAATGTCCAGAAATACCCAACCATGTCCCATGGTCCTGCCATCTTAAATGTTTCGGGTCCTAACTGCTGCATCCTGGCACAGTTTAAGATCCAGGATATGCGAGCCCCGCGCCTCGCTGTGGTTAGCTGCCCAGACTCTGGTTCCCTGTCGCTCTCCGCCAGCAGACCCTGGAAGGCAGGAACCGCGCCTTATTAGTCTGCAGATACAGAGCAGATCCTCAGTGATGGCTGTCTGTCCATTTTCTGTTACTAAAGACACAACAAAAAGAGAGTTATCTGAGCTCACAGTTCTGGGGATCCAAGGTTGAGGGCCACATCCAGTGACAGCCTTCGTGCTGGCAGAGACCCAAAGCAATGCAGGCATCCGCAACAGAAGCAGAGTCTGTCGGATCTCTTCCACTTTTTGATCAAAGTCACCAGTTGTCCACCCTGACAACGTCTGTTCCTGGTCACGCCCAGTGCCACTGCCTCTAAGAGCCATGGTGGGGTGAAGCTTCTACCCTCCATGATCCTGATGAAGGGGATCAAATTCCACCCCCAAAACAGCAGCAGTTATCACAGCAAGCCCAGAATTAGCACATGAGTTTTTTTTCATCATCTGGGATCTTGATTTTGATCCTTTGGTTCCTCCCCATGGAAGACAGGAGAGGAGTCGGGCATGGTTAGCTGTGTGAGCAGCTCAAGGGAAGGCCTTCCGGAGACTCCACCAGCAGACACCACCCCGGCAGTGCTCCTCTGGCCTTGCCCGGTAGCCTCACTTGCTAGTTAGCACCTTATGGGAGTCAACTATTACTACTTCCGGTTGGTTATTTAATACTGGAGATTCTCAGCCTAGCAATTCTCACCATGCTTTGGGGAGCTTGTAGCAACCTAGCAACCACGAAATGCAGCCCCCTCATTTTCCAGCGAAGACTGAAGGCCCCAAGGAGATGAGGTAAGCAGCTCAGACACATTCCTAGTGAGTTACTCAGTTCATTCACACATCAAGTATTTGTGGAATGCCGCGGTGAGCCAGGCTCTGAGAGGTGGTGGTCTCCAGGGCATCTCTGCCTTTGTGGTGCCCACAGTCACAAAGGAAATGAGGCTGGAGTCAAGCAGTCTTAAACCAAACCGGAAGGGAGGTTACCACGCTGGCACACTTCCTGAAGGAGAGGCACTGCATTTACTGTCTCGGAGGGGTATGGTTGTCTCGGGAGGTGACTCCTTCTTTGTTGTTTACTGTTTGTTAAGAGCATAAAACAGGGGATCTGATTTAGGTGTTGGGGGAAGGCTTCTATGAAGGGGTCGTGAATGAATTTAAACCTGATTCCCAGTTCGGAGCATTGAGCCAACACGTAGGAGTGGCTTGGTGGAAGGAACAGAGTCCCAGGCTAAAGAAACGACACACTGCCCTGGGGCCACAAGGTGGACAGCATGGTGTCCCCTGCCTGCCCACACCCGGTCAAAAGCCAGAGAGTTAGGTGAATTCGCGTGCAGTGGAGAGTAGAGATGTACCTCATTTTACAAGCTGAAGATTTTGGTGAGTCTGTAGATACCATCTTTCCAACAGCCACCGCTCACTTCTGTCACAGAGGGGGCACATTCTGGCAACTGGCTCAAACTTACACACTTTTTCTTATTACTCTATTACGGTCACCTGTGACCTCTGACCTCTGATGTTACTATTGTCCTGTTTTGGGGTGCCATGAACCCCAAAGCTGTCTGAGACACCAAACGTAGCTGATGAATCCTGTGTGTGCTCTGATTGCACCACTGACCACTCAGTCCCCGTCCTTGTCCCTCTCCTACGGCCTCTGCATGCCAGAGACACAAAATACTGAAATTAGGGAAATAAGAACCCTACTGTGGCCTCAGCTGAAGAACCACGTCTCTCACTTTAAACCAGAAGCTAACAGTGACCAAGATGAGTCAAGAAGGCAGACAGAAAGCCGAGACAGGCTAAAGACTGGGCCCTGTGTGCCACACAGTTAGCCAAGCTGTGAACACAACCGAAAAGTTCTTGAAGAAAACTGAAGGTACGACTCCAGCAAACAGGAAGGCAGGGAGATAAAACAGCTGAGTTACTGTTACAGAGAGTGTGCCAGTGGGCCAGACAGGGACCGAGCCGATCCCAAGGTTCCCTGAAGCCAAACCCTAATCCAGACCAAGGCCTAACTCCCATCAACTCTGACGGCTGAGATGAGGAAGCTGCAGAGGAAAAGTGGGAGCCTAGCAGGGGTTAGTTTGTGGGACTTGGGAAGAGAAGTTGTGCCCGTAACATAAAAGTGTACGGTGGAGCCTCAAGTGTTGCGGAGAAGCTGCAGGAGGTGACCAGAAGACCTAGCTAAGCCAAGGAGGCCACACTGATGCACAGCCTTTCTGTGAGAAAGTATTCTCGATGAAAGTGGGCTATCCAGAACTTTCCCAGCAAGGCAGGAGCTGGCCAGGCTGACCCTCTTCTTGGAGTTAATATGGCTGGTGACTACATGGAAGCCAGTGCTCCTTTGCCATTCCAAAGATCTAGAGCACGTAAGAACTATACTAAAACCCATTCTACATGTGCTCTATCAGTGCTCTTAAAGCAGTAAAGCCTGAGCAATAGCACATCTGTTCATCTATAGTCAGCATCTGCAAGGCTAACAGTCTATCCAAGACACATACTTTATAGGATTGTTTTATAATCACCCAGAGTCAAATGCAAGAGTACAAGAAATCTGCCCACATACTAGAGAGCCAAAAGGCCTTGATCCCACAGCAATGTCCTGAAGGAGTCCAGCTGAAGACCTAGAGCCCATAGCAATGTCTTCCATGAGTCCAGCTGAAGACCCAGAGCCCACAATATCCCATGCAAGTCTGTGTCAAGGATCTGCATTGGGAAGACCCAAAGCTCAGTGTTAGAAGCTAGAAAGTCTGCACCAGGGGAATGAAGGACCTGTGCCAGCAGGCTGAGGGATCTGCACTGGAGCCAGGAAGTGACGACACTCAAGATAAGGACCAGGGCTTCCCTGGAAAGAACCACAGCCGCTCTCAGTGACAGCAAGGACCTGAGTTCCTCCATCAGTGAGAACAGCCGAGTTCATATCAGGAAGCCAGCATGACGAGCTTCTCCAAGGGATCAAATGCACATCTTTCCCTCTGGTTCTACATTTATGCTGCCGGCAGCCTCCACACATAGCACCACGCTGATTCACTGAGCTGCTGCGTATTACAAGTTGACCATTAGTTGTTAATCTGCCGCATGCTTTCCTGAGTATTTTAAACCCACTGTTTGGATATACCGCTGAGAAAAAGAGATTCCTTTGAAATATTACTGTTTGCCAACAATGTGTCTGCCCACCCAAGAGATTTAATGGAGTTGTATGAGATTAATATTGTTTTAGTACCTGCTGGATAAGATCTGTCCTTGTGACAGCACAAGGTTTAGGGGGTGGTGGACAGCTGAGAAGCAGCGGGTGGGTTTGAGAGGCCTGACTCCCAATACGAAAGAAGCTGAATGTTGGTAAAAGCTACCACACAGCGTCACATGCTGCAGAGATATGTTCCACTGCTGGAAGGAAGAGTTATCAGTGTGGCAAACTTCATGTTTGTCTTGTTTTAAGGAATTTCCACAGCAGCCAGCCTGCAGGGACCATCACCTGGCTCACTCTGCCGCAGCCAGCACCTAAGGAGGACCCTCTACCGCAGAAAAGCTAGAAGGCACAGCTGATCATTAGCACTTTTGAGCAGTAAAATATTGTTAAATTAAGATATACATATTTTTACACACAGTGCACACCTAATGGACTACAGTATAATGGAAACATCATTTTTATATGTGCAGGAAAAATAAAAATTCATATGTCTCGTCTTATTGCAGTACCCACTTTGCTGAGATGGTCTGGAATTGAACCTGCAAAATCTACCACAAATGCTGCATGTTCTACTTTTCCTCTGGCTCAGCCAAAAAGCAGATTCTTCTGTGCTTACATCCCTGGAGAGAAAGTTTGACCCCTGGAGTCTATGAGAAAGGAGCAGAAGAAAAGTCAATATGCAAAAGTCTGTAGGTCTAACTTCTCTAACCTAATGGTAACAGAGGCTGGGCAGTAGAAATTCTACATGCTTTTACTTTTTACTTGGTTTCTGTATTATTGAGTTTTTATAACCTCAATACTTAGGATATTCATCAGTTACCTGGCAAATAGAACCTCAGTGCCTGGATGGCTTAAATACAAATTTATTTTCTTCACAGTTAGAGATCAAGGTGCCGGGAGGGTGGGCCTGAGGATGGCTGGTTGTCTTCTCCCTGGCCCCTCTCACAGCGTCCCCACCCCTGGAGTCTCTCTCTACTGGGAAAGCCCTCAGTTTTATTAGGCCAGACTTAATGACTCCACCCAGAGTCACCTCCTCGAAGGCCTTACCTCCGCACACAGTCATGTTAGGGGTCAGAGATAGGGGCTCAACATTTGCATTTAGTCTCCATAACTGAGACTGTCTGGTGCCAGGGTTAAATGAGGTCATAAATGAAAGCCTCAAGTTCTGTCACTGAAGTTAGAGTCTCAGGTGCTGCCTCTGAACTTGCTCCTGGCTCTCCAGAGGAAGAAGCTGGCCACCTGCCTCCTGCCATTCCAAGTTGACTTGTTCCCCTGGGCCCTGTTTGTGTGCACTCACGCCAGGCAGTGTTACTTGCATCTCAGAGAACTGCCGACAGAGTCTGGGGCTGTGACAGGAGTACCAGCAGAGTGGTGCTCACCACTCGGGCACTGCCCCAGCATGTCCTCACCGATCCTCATGGTAATGCTCTGAGCTGGCGTTAGTTTCTGCATTTATGAGGAGGCAGTAAAAGTCACTTATCCAAGGTCATCAGGGAAGAAAGTGGTAAAGCTAGGATCAAACCCAAGCCCACAGATATAATCATTCCAAGAATTTGCCCAATGTGGTGAGGATACACTTCCATGGGCTCCACTAGACCATGCTCCTGGTGGAGAGGGCAGGAGCAGCTGCTGGCGTCTTTGATGCCTAGTGCCACCGAGCCTCCCTGACAGTCTGGTGCTGTGTGTCTCAGCAACTCCTGCTGAGAAGCTCTGCCCAGGAAAGGGAGATTTGGCTGTCTATATCAGAGCTGACCCAGGCTGGGGGTGACTCAGGAGGGTGAGTTTTCCCAACACCTGGAATTTGCTTAACCCTATATGCCAACAAATCTGCTTTCTCAGTTCTAATTTAAATCAAACCTTGCCCTCTACCTGCAATAAAAGAAATAAAAGTTTGGTTCATAAATATTACGAAGGCCAGGTATGGTGGCACATGCGTGTAATCCCAGCAGGATTGCCACAAATTCAAGACCAGCCTGAACTGCATTGAGAGTTTAGAGCCAGCCTGAACTACAAAGAGACTGTATCTTGAAGGAAAAAAAACAAAGAAATAACAACAACAAAGTATATATATGACATAGGTGGACAATAGAGAGTATTTGCCAAGAGTAAGGGCAGGGGCCAGAAATCTGGCGTTCTGTAAGGTAAGTTCCCAAAGTCTACTGTACAACATGGTGTGCACAGCTGACAATAAAGTGTTTAACACTTAAAACGGTGTTAAAGGGTAGAGATTGCATGTTAATTGCTCTTATTACAAAAAAAAAAAAAAAGAGAGAGAGAGAGAGACAGGAAGATTCACAAAGAATCTCTGAAGGGTCCCGATAATTTTATTACTGGATTACGGCGGTAATAACGTGAGTGTATGTGCTATGTTCACGTTCACCAAATTGTGTGCATTGATTATGTACAGCTTTGTGCGTACCAGTTATAACTCAATAAGTGAGAACAAAAATAAATAAATAAAATAAAGCTGCCAGAAAGAAAAGACAGGAGGTCTAGAGGAACTACTAGGATATTCCCAACGAAAGCAGAAGCCACGCCCCTCTGCTACGTACTTCGCCTGGGGAGTCGGGGGGCGGGAATTCTAGCGCCTGCGCAGTGCTGCGTACCCCCCTCCAGTCGGGTCCTGGCACGAGCACACATGCAAAGGCCCACGGGAACCCTCCCCCGCCCCGACCTGACAGCTTAAGAGCCCGGGTGTGGGGGCCAACACTCCCCTCCTCTGCTCTCCGGTGGCAGGAGTGGGGCCCAGCCCTGCATAGCCACGTGGCTCCATGACGCCTGTCATTTGGAGCCTGCAGGACGCAACCCTCAGACGGAGGCGCCGCCTTGCTTGTCGTCTCTTCCCTCCTCTTGCCCGCGCTTCCCCCTGAGCACAAGGGCTGCACAAGGCTGGACTGTGCTCCCTCATGCTATGCGCCCGAGCACCGCCTCCTGGGGCGCCCTTGGGAGCAGGGCATTACTGAGAGGGAGCTGCAAGGGAGGATGCTGAGAAGGACAGTGCCACGGGGAACTGCACGGAGAGATGTGGCAGACAGCCTCACCAGGCAGCCCTCCCTCAAACAGCCGCCAAGGCCCTCCGTGGAAGATTACAGGGAGAAGACAGCAATAGATGGGAAAATCACATGGTAGCAGCCACAGAGCGCCGCGGACTTCAGATTGCACCGGTAATCAGCTCCCACTCTAATAGAGAAGTGTGGGGTTAAAAATAGGAAAGCAGTGTTGTGGAAATATAATCACCATCTCAGTGTTTGCCTTTCTCTTTGGTGAGTGCAGTGTTAGTTTCTTAAACGTCCCCAGGGCCTTAGGGAAAGCCCTATGGGGAAAATGAGAGAAAAACGAAAACAGAAAGCTATCACGTGGAAAAAGAATGTAATTTTTTTTCATGTTTCCCCAACACATAAAATACTAGGGAAGCAGACTTTGCTGAAGAATTAAGCAATACTGTGACCACAGTGAACTGTTCCCATGGCGGCTGTGAGAAGTGTTAGTGGACGGGTCAGACACCCTTGAAGGAGAGACGTCCAGTGGGTACTGAAGACTTGCAGTTTCCCTGCAAGACTGAGATCCGGTGGCCTGCATGAGGTGACCCAGCCGGGCACAGGTGCTAAGCTGGTTGAATGTGATTGACCTCCTAGAGATGCCCAGGGGAATTAGCAAAGCCACACAGCTGAAGTACAGTGATACCCTGCCCAAAAAAACCAATTGCCACTGTGATAGCACCACACTTGCTTCCCATTCCCCATTATTAACAAGCACATGTTGAGTGCCCTGTGTGGACCAGACACTGCGGGGAGGAGGTGGCAGGACCAGCTCCGCTCATGATGGGAACAGTCCCTGTCCTTCAAGGCAGTCTGATGTTTTCCTGTGACGGTCATGCCCGAGAAGCCACAGCACAAGAACATTTGAACAGATCCGAACGCATGTGGGACAAAGGCCTTCAGGGGAGTGGCGCACCAGTGTTTGCCCAATCTGACATGTGACGGTGTATGGGGGACTGGGAGGAGCCTGATGTGAGAGCCAGTGAATCCGTGGTAGGGGACAGTGTCCCCCAGCACAGCCCAGGCTGCATCCTGGGGACCTGGGAGGAATGGGCCTTGTCCTTAGGCACCTGGTGATGGCAGTGAGGGGAGTGACGCCAAGAGACATAGAAATATCGTCCCGCATGAGAGAACAGCTTAGGCCGGACAGGCCAGGGCCTCCTCTAGGGGCCTGAGGTGGAAACTCGTTCAAGGCAGAGCACCCATTGCTGGTGAGGAGGGGAGTTTGGAGGCTGAAGCTGGATTTGTCTATGCTGCTGCTTCCAAGTGCACGTGAGGCCATGAGAGATGCCTGCCCAGGTCAGCACCCCAGACACTGCCCAGAGTGACCTGAGAAACCCTTGCATTGGACAGGACATCAGGCTTACCTGTGGGGTGCACTGCCAGACACCCCCAACAGTGCTCGGGTGTCTTCACAGCCTCGATCTGAGAGTGCCATCAGCTCCACAGCCTGAGTTCTGCCCAGCACACACGGCCTGGGAAAAGTCAAAGGCGAGAACCCAAGTACAAGTGGTTCCAAAGCTGCTCCCTGGGCCTGGAAGCACCCATGCATAGCTACAGTCTGCAAAAACCAGCAAAAAAGTCATGGCTTTGTCTCCTTTCTGGGTCACCCTTCTGGTCTTGCAATCAGTTCAGCATTTTTCTAAACTGTTACATTTGTTTGGAAGATTATGCACATTTGTCCATGAGAAATTACACAAAGAATCATGAAAACATTTTGCCAAATAAAGAACCACCTTCGTATTGAGGTTTAGCTGGAAAAAAAAACCAGGAGTTTGCCATTCACTGGAAGAGGCTGTATCACTTAAGAGACAGAAGTGCACACATGCACACACACACACACACACACACACACACATACACACATGTACACACCAGTAAGTTTACACCAAACCCTGCTCAGTATTTCTTGAGCTCCTGTCATACACCAGGACCTCCATTTTGCCTGCTTTGTGTGTAATCCCTGTTTAACAGAAGTGAGGCTCAGGGAAACTTAAGGAACCAACTTTGGGGCCCAGCAGGGAAGAGGCAGGTGCTGGGTCCCTGGCTTCTCCCCCACTCAGCAGCTCTTTGCTCTGCGTTGCTGTCCTGGGCTGGCCAGGCATTCTTCAGTTGAGCAGGGAGAAGGAAGAACAGCAGCTGTTCACACACCCGAGGACTTCCTATGTCTGAGGAACGGTTCCAGTGGACATGCAGCCTTCCGATTGCAATGAAGGACCCTGTCTGCAGGGGAATCCCTCCTTGGAGCAGAGAAAGAGGCCGACTATGGTTCACTCTGCCCACTAGGTGGGTTACATTTGGCTCTGCTTGGATCAGCAATAAGGGGAACCTCACTGGTACTCCGGCTCCTGTCCCTGAAGCACACATGCCCTTTCCTTGGCAGGAGGCTCGTCCACACTCATCCATTGTGCAGAGGTGCAGCTTTGACGTTGGGCTGGCCAGGCTGGAATGGACTCCACCACTTAATAGTCGCCTGATGTTAAGCATAATGTTAGCGCTCCAAGCTGCGGTTTCTTTGCTGTTAAATGGGTCTGGCAGGTTACAGTAAAGAGTAAATGAGACGGTGCCTGTTATCACTTGGCATTGTATCTGGTTCCCATTACGTGCAGCAGAAACGAGCTACTGTCATAATCCCAGTCACTTCAAATCTCTAGCTCAACTGCAATGCGTGATGCTGGCAGGATCGCCATTGGGGACCCCAATGACTCTCCCAAGGAATGGAGACGGCTTTCCAGATCATGCCACAGTGACCCACCTCTTCCAGCAAGGCCCAGTGTCTTAACACAGAATCAGCTGTGTAACACCCTGTGATCCAATCACCTTCCACAGGTCTTGCCTATGACCTCAGAGGCTCTAGGGACAGATCTAGACACAAGCCACACAATGTCTTTCCCAGGAGGGGATGCAGCTCTGAGCACCTACTGAGGACGAGGTCGTCAGCATGAGCATCCGGGAGGACGCTGTTCATGTCCCATCTTCAGACGGTGTCTATTCCTTCCAAGCAGGAGATGCAAATAGGACATGGAAGCAGTGAGCACTCCGGTAAGAGCACAGCCTGAGGGACCTGGCTCTGCCCTTGCCAGCCTGGTCTGTGTTCAGCTTCCTCACCTGTAAAATGGGGACAACAGTAACATTTATACATTCTACTGTTCATGAACATTTAATAGAATTACACTGGAAATGTCTGGTCATCACACAGCATATCCTGCCGTGGCAGGAAAGATCATGTAATGAAAGCCTGTGATACACTCAGCATTGCCAGCGGTTGCTGTTATTCCAAAAGCTGCTATCCGAGTCAACTCATGGGCTTGCCACAACTCAGCAAAGAGGGTACCGTCCTCAACCCCATTTTAGGGAAACAAAGAGCAAGCCCTGGAGAGATTAAGTTATGTGGATACAGCCCCAAAGCTACCCCATGGGACAGTCAGGAACCCACCAGAGCCGGCCCCTCCTCGGGGATCAGGAGAGGGCTCTGCAGTGCTGCAGCCAGGGCAAAAAACAGCCTTCATGCTCTTGGAAAGCCGGCCTGCAAAAGGGGCCCAGCCACCAAACCACCAACAGCACTGGCCATGCTCAGCAGACTTCTGAGCTGCTCAGGCCCCTGGTGGACAGGCGCTGCTCTCCTAGGCCCAGAGATAAGGCCCAGCCCCAGGACGGCCAGCCCCAGGAGGGCCAGCCCCAGGCCCGGTAGGGCCAGCAGAAGTGAGCGCTGCCAGCGCCACAGGCAGTGAGGGCCCACTCCGACTCACTTTCGCTCTCTCTGTCCCCTTCTAGGTGAATCCTTCAGAATTGTGCTGTAAATGGGACACTGTCTCGGGAAAGAAGAGAACTTCCCTCTTCACCGTAGGCCCCCCTCGCCAGAGACTCCAGGGGAACTGCCTCCAGTGCCTGGCGAGTCCCCCCATGGGCTCCGGAGGACGGATGGGAATTGTCCGTAGTGCCAAAGTCCTACTACTGTGTTTCCGGTGGGTCCTTGTACATAGCTGGCTCCTCCAACCTGGCCCCACCTCTTGCTGTACTGGAACTGATTTGTACTCTGTGGAAATTTTGTTACCTTTTTAATCAAGGGCCACTTCCTTTTCCAGCACTACCATTGCAAGGTTTTTCCAGGATCGAGGGCTAACCACATTGCTTTTCCCTTTTATATTTTTCTTTTATTAATTTAGGAGAGGGTGTGCTAGTATTAATGCCAATTATATCTTCTGGGTTTTAGGTAGGGAGAATTTATTTTTAAATGTAGCTTGGAATTTGGAAGGCTTCTTGGTGGAAAGGGCTGGGTTGGGCCTCTGTCTCAACTCAGAGTGGGTTTGCATAGAGTTGCAGACCTTCCAGTCAAACCCATTTTGTTTCTTTCCTGGCTGCTTGGGGATCCCTGCTGCACCCCACACAGGTTTTCCACACTGCCGAGAGGGAGTCTAACCTCACTCAGCTGTCCCTCAGCTGAGCCTGGTGTGGTCCCAGCTGCACTGCAAGGCCTGCTTAGCACCTTTTTAAAACCAGCAGAAAGACTCACATTTGTGAGCACCATCACTGAGATTACGAAATTGAACAAAAGATCTCCCTTTCTAGGTGGCACAAAGATAGAGAGCTTTGGGGTTCGTTTTTCTTCACTGCCTTTTCTCGGTGTGGTATTTGAGAAGCTTTGGCTTGACACCTCACCATGAATGGATACTGTATGTACGTGCGTGTGCGTGCGTGTGCATGTGTGTGTGTGCGCGCGTGTGTTTTGAGCCAGTTTTAGATACCTGAGTGCACTTTTTTTAGCTAGTGCTAACTTTTAAATAAGGAATACCAAGCGCCGTGTCTGGTGTACATGTGGCGATGACTCATGTTTGCAGCCCTTTCCCCCTGGACACCCCCTCTGTCTGCGTACACTGCACAAATAAAATGCTAGGGAGTTTGAATAAAACCGATTTTTCTAGCTCGTGCTCATTTGTTGTAACTCAATAAAGCAAACACTAACCATTTGTAGAACCTTTTCCTCTGTTCCTTGTTCTGCCTGCTGCCCCCTGGGGTTCCAACTCAGCTCCCGCCTGCTGCCAGTCCATCTTGCCCGCAGCTCTCACTTCCTTCGTGGAGAGGTCCAGCATCCCATGTGGGGCCTTGGAAACAGGCTGCTGATGTAGACTCTTCCTCGAGTCTCTGGTGCAAAGAAGGACGTTTGATACACACCCTCCTCCTCACCACAAACTGTTCTTGAAAATTCTGCGAAGAGCATGGGACTGGGTATCAGAAGACCTCCCTTACCCAGTCACTCCTGGGTGCTGAGATAGGTCAGTCCCCTCCCCTGGCCGCTCGGAAGTTTGCAGTCTCTCGTGTTCATGCGCGATGCTCATCTAGACCCATGCTTCCCAAAATCCAGCAGGCGCCAGAATCAGCAAGTCTGTGTGGGCTGCTGGGGAGAACGTGGCTAATGAGTTCCCAAGGAGCTACCAGTCCAGAGGCCTTCCATTGGGAACTCAGGAATGGACATTTCCTCTTTACAGGGTCGTGCAGACTCAGAACTGGTTTACAAACAAAGCGTGTGTTTATTCTTCAGACAAGGGAAGACACTTACCGCCTTCCCCACAATTCCAAAAATATAGGGGAAATCACAACCAGAAGAGCCTGGCCTCCTCGGCAGAACACCTCCACCTTCCTTCTCTCAGGGCTTCTCCCTCCTCGGGGCTCCTCTAACACCACACGCCTTTTTCCTCAACATAGTTTAGGGTCCATTGGGTTAACCTGCAGTCCCTCCAAGCCAAGACCAGGGCCCCTACAGTCTCCATAATAGCACACCGTTTCTAAAATCACCCTAATTCTCCTTAACAACTAACAAAAGAATTGAACTAGTTATCCAAAGATTAAGTGGGGGGCTGGGAATTTAGCTCAGCAGTACAAGCGCCTGCCTGGCAAGCGCAAAATCGTGAGATCAATTCCTGGTACTGAAAAAAAAAAGGATTTGAAAAAAAAATTAAATGGTAGCTATTGTATTTTAATTGAGCAGTTATTCTGGGTTAGACTTTGTGGTGAGATAGATATATAAATAAAGATAGAGCACAGCAAAAATATACATCAGGAAAATAAAAACGTACAAATATTTTAATATTGAATTTATTAAGATATCATGGAATTAATACAACTTACCTTTGGGCTCTACAATTATTAAAGCTATTCAAAGTGGTGGCCATAAAAAAGTTAAATTAAATTAAATTTTTAAAAAAGTGGTGGCCTTGAGATTCCAGATATGTATTAGTATGGCCAACTGCTCATGTGTATGTACATTTTTGATGGAATATACATATATATTTATATTATACACTTTCTTGTTTTATCTTTATAGCCCTCTAAGCTAGGACTGTGATTCTCATGTCATGTGTGACGTTTGGCCCAAGCCAAAAGCCACGTAGACACTGCCATGGAAACCTGTTTCACTTTTCAAGTGTCCCCCCACCCACTGCTCCTTGGAGAAGCAGCCCCTTTCCTACAGGAGTTGCTCACCAGCCCCACAGCACCTACTGGCACTACGGCCCAACCTGCTCCAGCCAAGGCCAGCCGTAGCCCATCTCCCCACAGCCATGATCCACATGGGCCAGGCAGGGGCAACTGAGCATCCTCTCGAGAGACGGATGCTGGGAGAGACGCGCTCACTCTACCCATCAGGGAGGCTAAATGAAGATGTGTGCCTGGGATGACTGCAGCTATTCCTGGCTGTGGGGAGGAGGCTGTCTGCACAAGTTAAAAGCTCAGAGAAACATCACCTCTGCAGAGTACTGCAGTGTCACAATGAGGTAAGCGGCGTAACGAAGAAGTCCCAAAACGAGGTGTTGCCAGTGGGATCATTTACTCCTGTCTCGGGCAGTAGTCAGAGGTGGCCCACAGCTAGTCCCTGCGGCCATCCAGGAGCCCAGGGTGACAGGCGGTTCTGCTGTCCCAGCCGGATGGAGCTTTCCATCTCTAGGCCAGAGTTGGCTACTTCAATTAAACTCCCCCATGAGGCCAAAGGTGCCCACAGCCCACTTCTACATTCCAGCCCTTGAGAAATGTGGAACGTGAGCACCTTTAGTTTAAGGTCTTGAAACAGAAATTGCCATCTGTTCATAGCCTGCTATGCTATGGTAACACCTAGCAGGCAGGAAAGCTGGCTGGGAGGCCAAACTGGTGGGTGAGCGGCTCTGTCCCTAAAGGGAAGAAAGGGAGATGGGGTCTCAAGGACAGGCGGCGTCAGCCCTGAGGGAGTCAGCTGTCTACTCGGTCTCAGTTCCCCTTCACCCTGCCCATCACGTGAGCCCGTACTGAACTGTCATTCATTTCACCTAGGTTAGGAGCAGGTCGGGTCTCTGGGACAGAGAGAATCATAACCAGTAAAATTCTGAAGTCAAGGCACAAACCTACTATCTATCACGTAAGATGGTGTCTCCAGGAGTCTGGAAACCACTCTGGATGTCAGTTCCTGACTGATGTCCAGCCTTAGAGTGAGAGGTCAGGCTCAGAGGCATGGTCTGGACCGAAAACGATCTCCCAAAGGCTCATGTATTCAGAGACGAGGCTTTGGAAGGTAATTGCATTCTGAGGACTTTAACTTCATCAGTGAATTAATATGTTGATGAATTCGTAATTTGATGGCATTCTTGGGTGGCATCTCAGTGGAAAGTTAAGGTGTGCCTCAGTGGAAAGGAAGGGCAATAGGGCTGTGACCTGGGAAATGCTCTCTCGTACCCAGCTCCTTCCTCCCCGCCTCTCTCTGGCCACCATCATGGGAGCCGCTTTCCTCCACCACACCCTCTACCATGACATTTCTGCCTCACCATGGCCCAAAAGTGACACAACAACCAGCCACATTTGGAAGCCTCTGAAACTGTGAGCCAGAAACTTGTTCCTCCAAAGGAAGTCTTTATCTTTTTACTTCATCAGGCAACAGAAAGCTGCTAGCACACTGGAGAGACTCGGTCTCCCCGTGGTGCTCTTCGATGCGTCTAGGACTGAATCAAGAAGAAAGGCAGAACAGAAGGACCGGAAGGTGTGCAGAAGTACGTCAGCTGAGGGGCCATTTGAAGTCAGGGAGAGTGGGGAGGCGGTAGCTGGAACTTGAGGCCACAGAGTCAGGTCGGGCCAAAAGGGTGAGAACAGACAAACGCCCGGGTGTACCTCTGCTCCTCTCAAGCCCAGGGATGTGGAGTCAGAAGGGGGGCGTTAAGAGTGAACCCTAGAGTCACAGGCCCGAGGGCAAATCCCAGCTGTGTGGCCATGGGGGAGTCACTCGCTCACACCATGCTTCACTTCCTTGTCTGCGAGGCAGTGAACCATCAAACCATCTCACACCATACCTGTTACCATAATGAGTTAGTGCGTGAAGCATGAGAACAACACTAAATTCTCAGAGACACTGTTGCTATTCCTAGATATGAAAGGCCTAGGTGAATTCACCCAAATTAAAATGCAGGAATTGGACTGTACAGGCCCAGCACTTCTGCTGTGAGGAATTCTAGTCCTTAGCTGAGAAACTGCAACCTCACAGCAGCATCTGCATCCGCTAACATCTTCCCTCACGTCTCACTCACCCTCCTTCTCCAATGCTCAGCCCTCTGAACCTCGAAGCCACAGCATGGCCGGTGTTACAGTTTAACTGTGAATCATCCCACAAAGACGCTGTTAGGAAGAGTGGCCTGGTTAGAGGAAGCAAGTCGCTGTGTAAAAGGCTTTTGAAGGATAGATTATATCCCCACACCCTGTCCCTTCCTCTCTGATTTCTCCTGGCTTCTTCTACCATACCCTTCTGCTATAAAGTTTGTGCCTCTGAACCAACAAATCATGGACTAAAGTCTTTGAAACCATGAGCCAAGATAAACCCTTCCTCCTTTAAATTGTGTGTGTCAGGTATTCTGTCCCCAGCAATGAGAAGATGTGTACCACAATCCAGAGGCGTGGATGTCTCCCCTTAGGGCTCTCTGCTCCAGCCTTGCCTGAAGCCCAACTCCAAAGGCCAGAGTCAACCCCAGTTAGAGGACAAGCATCTGACCACTTTATAGATTTACTCTGCCCTCCGTGATGCCTTATCCATGGGCCCAGGACTAGGATGAGACCAGCACATCACCAAAGGAAACCAAACACAAAGAAGCGAGGTTGTGGAGTACCAGCACTGCACTTCAGGCCCTGTGAGCGGGCAGCAACTTAAACTCTCCATGAGTCATTCGTCTGAGCCCACCTGTGCCCATCTATCAGCCTTCCCCACCCTCACGTATCTGTATGTCTTTCTCCCAGTACACTGAAAGCTGCATTAGGCGCAGACTGCGTCCTGTTCCCATAGCTACATGCCCCATGCCTAGCTCAATCTAATATAGAGTGGATGCTCCGTAAGTATTTGCTGGATGGCTGAATGGATGGATGCACAGATGGACAGATGGATGTTTTGATGGATGGCTGGATGGATGCCAGCTCTCCCATCAAACCTGAGTTCAAGTCCCAGCTCTCCTGATGATGATTTTGTTGGATTTACTTGACTTTTGGAGCTGTGGTTCCTCATCTGAGACTGAGACGCCCCACACTGTACATCTGGTGTGAAGTTAACTGAGCTCATGCCTGCATAGTACCTCCCCCTACCAAGCAGTGGGCCCGTGCCAGACAGTGTGATGGCTGTGCCTTCCCATGCCTACATGGAATGTTTGTGTAACCAGGCAGCCAGCCAGAGGGAGCTGGATCCAGGTCTAGGAAATGACATTCCAGGTGTGTGCTCTGGCACTGCAAACAATCACATGTAGCCACTCTATCCTTGGTACCCCTAAATTCACTGTGGCTGGACTCTCCTTCAAGGCCTCAAGATTCAAAGAAGTCCAGCTTGTACTTTTCTCATTAAGCACAAAAGTTAGAAATGACTGCGGCTGGCTCCTTTTCTGACTCCTGCGTGCACTGCCTGTCCCTCCCAGCCTCATTACTGTCGTGCTGTCCTGTCCTCTAACCCATCGATGAGCTGTGCCAGCACTTCTCCCCCAGGAGGC